GACATATCCTTCCATGCTTGCCAAAATATGAGCGCCTACTTTTTTTTAAACTTTCTTCCCGTCATTTTACCCTACATTTTGGGAAGAATGCATGCAGATGAAAAGGAACAAATACACAATGGTGCAATCTTGAAAAACTTTGGCAGACAATTATTAAAGTAATAGAGCAGACTGAGAAGAGAGCTAGCATAGAGCGAGGAGGACAGCCGTCGCCTTTCAGGAGACTGGAAGAGGATATTTCAGAAACAATAGCCAGTAATGCAGCATAAAGCACGAGCACTGATGTGGTATATGACTTACTCAGATGAATGTCCTTGCAGGCCAATAAGGCTCTCAGTCAAGTCTCAGCTTTTTGAAGTTAGTTAAATAGTGTCATAAGATTCATAAGATTCATCACATACCACTCAAGTGCTACCGTGTGTGTGAGGGTCCCTGTGTGGATTTGTGTCTACGGTTTGATTTGTGAGTCTGTATGCATGATTACTGTATGCGTGGATGCGGCGACACAGATGATGTGGGTTAGTATGCACTGGAATGTGTGTGCCAAAAGCGAGCGAGTGTGGATAAGTATGACATCTTTAATGACAATGATGAGTGACAAATAACGCTGACACACATGGTTCCTGGTCTCAATCCTGCTTTAATAAAAGCTTGTTGATCCTTTGAACAGTTAAATTAAAATAAACAAGTCCATCTCCACTCAGGCCTCAACAATGAGCTATGTACAACTGAAGACATATAAGACCATCTTTTACAGGGTAGACATCAAATACATGTCTTTTTAATGTAACCCTGAGCCTGAATGTGGACTTTTATTATTTCTTAAATCAGTCTAAAATTTTGATGGGCATGTTTTGAAGGAAAAGGCCTTGTAACCACAATGCAGGGATGTCTTGAAACAAAGATCTCTGCGGCTTAGTCTGTTTCTCATGGTCAACATGAGCCCAGCAGTCTCTGTTCTCAGATAGTTCATGTCTGTAATTTCAGTTTACATCATCATTGTTACAACATATTAACTATTTTTAATACAGTTTCTTGGAAAAATCCCGAATAGAACATTTATGAATTCTTTTAAGAAAATGTACAAAAGCTAGAAAAATTTGATAGAACAGAAAGGAGTTTCTTTAATTCCAGGTCTGTCGGAGGTTTCTTCCATTAAAGGGAGTTTTTCCTCTCCACTGTTGCCAAGTGCTTGCTCAAGGGGGATTTGTTGGGTTTCTCTATAATACTGTAAGGTCTAGACCTTACTATGTAAAGCGCCCTGAGGTGACTGTTGTCATGAATTGGTTTTATACAAATAAAAGTGAATTGAATTGAAATTTTGACTAGTTAAGCAGAAAAGAAAGGTATTGGGGTGAGTGTTGTTTGCGGCAGAAAAATTATGACATCTATAGTTATATCGATAAAAAATGGGACTAGACTGACGTGACCTTATCACGATAGTCATCTTTATTACATTCTACACACAATACTAGACTCCCCTCTCCAGTAACTCAACAAATTTTGATTACAGTGACAAGTAAATGGGATGTAGTAAAACTCTAACACCAGTGTGGCCTTGTCAATTTATACATTTCTTCACACAATATTAGGCTGTCCATTACCTCTAGCTCTCTGTCACTTAATGAACTTTCTGGAAACTAAATTTAAATGTGATGCCACTGCATAAAAACACTTAAGGAAAAGCATATTCAAAATGTCAAGTGAATGATTTCAATTCACACTGCCACTATAGAAAAGTATGCCTTCATTCCACTGTATCATCTCCTGACACTTCATATTAGCACATTTCATGGTCATGCACCCATAATGCATTTTTATCTTCATTCAGATTAAAACTTTAAACAGCACTGCATGTATATTTCAGTCTTGATTTTGAAGGGACTGTCATGCAGGGGCCCCAAAACAGTGAAGAGGTTTGTATTTGTGTTTAATGAAATCAACAGTGTTTAGCTGCCAGCAGAGGGAGTCTTCTTAGTCCAAGAACAGCTCCCAAAGGACTGTGAATTGAAAACTACTGCTATAAATTCACACCACTCTGACTCAACCCGAGGTAATGGAGATACTGATGTTTTGTATTGGTTGTTTTGTTCACTGCTGCACTGCTAATTGAACTGACTGACAGAACCTTGCTGACACATTTATGACTGTTCATTATTAGCATGTTACTCGTGCAATTGTTTTTTTTTTATGTATACAGATGAAAAGCTATTCCTTGCCTGTTTGGCTTTATGGGACTTACTGTTGTGGTGTGTCTCAGCTGGGGAGGCCTCACTTACAGGGCAAAACCCAGTGTTGCAAACGACAAGCACCAGCCTGGGCTACAAGCCTATAAAAGGCAATTTCTCGTCGTTCCTTTTACTTTTCTGTACAACAACTACACGTGTTGAGCTCAGCCTGGAAGCCCGTCCCATTCCCTGCATATTCCTGC